GGGAGGACGTGCACACAGGCCGGCGCACACGCTGCGTGTCTGTGCATCCGCCCCTTGAGCCAAAGACGCGCTGAGCGGAGACGGAAGCGTCTTATTGGAGCACTCTTCCCCGTCTCCGATCTTAGGTGCATTGTGAAGATCACTGGTGACATGACAATATCGTTTCCAAGTGGAATTATCAAAGTCTTTACCAGCAATCCGGCTCCGGCCGTGCTGTGCTTCAGGGTGAAAAATATCAGCAGACTAGAGCAGATTCTTCCAAATGCACAGCTCGTGTTCAGGTTGGTGTACTGTTGTTTTAAAAGTTTAAGTTTCTTTTTAATAAATGTTTTCCTCCTCTGAAATAATGACACTCAGTTTGAAGATAATACCAAAATCATTTACTATAACTGGGCACTCTTTTGTTGTCTTTTTATTTTATTTTTGGTGGTGGTTATAACTATTTAAAAATCCTTTTCTGTCTCTCCATCTTCTCATCTTTCCAGGAGGCTTCTGCCGTGTTCTGTTCTTCATTCCCTAATCCTAATTTTCCCTCCTCCCAATTCTTGGTTAATTTCTATTAGTCTTTCCCAAGTTGCCAATTTAATACTCAGATGCAAAGGAGAAAGCTAAGTCAAATAAAATAACAATATTTCTTATACATGTAGTGATCCATCACAATGTGATTCTAACACAAAGGATTTTTGGATGAACATGCAAGCTGTTACTGTCTACCTCAAGAAGCTATCAGAGCAAAATCCAGCCGCTTCTTATTATAATGTAGATGTATTAAAGTATCAGGTGAGTGCCATGTCATTGTAAAAATCCTAAATTAAAATAGTAACAAATGGAATCTAGCATATAATTAAGTGAATAAATATGTCATTGCCAAGGGAGATATCCCCCGCCCAGGAATGCAGGTATGCTTGAAGTCAGAAAAGTTGTTAATAAACCAGTGGAGATTTTTGACCGGTTGGAGAAAATTAATCATCTATTCATAATTAAAATCCTAAGTAAATATGAATCCATAAATATGTCCTTAACCTGAAAAGATCAGCAGCATCAGTCTTAATCATGAAAGTTCTTCAAGCAAAGTCAGATAGTGGCAGAGATGCCCTTTAGTGAATCATAATCCCATTAATAGATCCTTTTAGTATGTAAGGTTTTGCTGGATATATTTAGCCAGTAGAGTTAGATAAGAGAATAAAATAAGCAGTAATAAATACTGGGAAAGAGGAACCAAAATTATTATTACTTATGTGATATATTCCTGGAAAACTCAAGAGAATCAACTGAGAAACTATTTAATATAAGGAGATTTAGTAAGGGAGTCAGTTTAAAAATTAATACAAAAAACCAGCATAGAGTACTATATACATAAAAATTAATATGTACTATATAGTACTGTACTATAATAGGTTTATAATACTTTTCACACAAATAATACATTAAAAACACAAAGCCATTTTTAATTTTACAGTACAGTACCTTGAAAAGTATACCAGACACATGAATTAACTTATATGATTGGATCTGCAAACACATGTTCATATCTTTTAAAACAACCATTTCTAAAAACGAATAGAGAAAAATACAAATAGAAACAATTAGGAAGAAATATAGCACAATCTCTGTTGACTTGTATATAGTTAGAATATATTCATTTAAAGGAAGACTCATGTGAAAAGTTTCTGTTTCTAAATTATAACTTATAAAATTTATGTGATCCTAATGAGAAACCTAGTAGTGTTATGTCTGCATTTGTGTTTGGAGATTTGACAATAATTTTCAAGTTCTCTAGGAGAATAAAGCTTGGAAGAATAAGTCAAGAAATTTGTTGCTGTTTTTAAGAGATGGGGTCTCACTCTGTCACCCAGACTGGAGTATAGTGTTGCAATCATATGTCACCACAGCCTCAAATTCCTGGGCTCAAGTGATGCTTTCTTCTCAGCCTCCCAAGTAGCCAGAACTACAGATACTTGCCACCCTACTCATCTATTTTTTATTTTTATTTTTTGTAGAGACAGGATATCGCTGTATTGTCCAGGCTGGTCTAAAACTCCTGGCCTCAAATGATCCTCTTGTGTCAGCCTCCCAAGTAGCTGGGATTACAGGCACAAGATAGCGTACTTGGCAAGTAATGTTTTAAACGATAGAGTGGAGTAATGTTTTAGCTTTAGTTGGAAAAGTTAATATAAAGCAACAGTATTTAAAATATTTTGAAACGGACACAGCAGTAGATGACCACGTGAACAGAACAAATTGGAGTATCTGAAAATAGATCTAAGAATAAATGGAAAATTGTTATGACAGAGTGTTATCTCAAGGCAATGTAGAAATGATGAATTTTTCAATAAATGATATTGAGATGGCAAGTTAGACATTTGGGAAAAAATTAAACTGAATCCCTATCTCACACTTACAACCACATAAAATCCATGTGTACCAAAGGTTTAATAATAAGAAGTGAAACCTTGACAGTGAATTGAGGGATCTGAAAGAAAGTAGCACTAAATATAGTAACTCCCCTACATATGAATGAGCTCTGTTCTGAAAGCACATTCATAAGTCGTGTTTGTAAGTCTGTCAGTTAGCCTAGGTACTCAGCTAACACAATTGGCTGTGTAGTACTGTACTGTAATAAGTGTATAATACTTTTCACACAAATAATACATAAAAAGCCAACACAAAAAGTAAAACATTTTTAATCTTACAGTGCAGTACCTTGAGAGAAGTACACCAGCCACTTGAACTAATTTATGTGATTTGACATGCAAACACATGTTCACAAACCACTTATGTGTTCAATCCTGACTCGTACCCCACATCTTTAAAATTAAAAAACCCACATGGGCAACTTGGTAAGACCTCGTATCTACAATAAATAAAAAATCAGCCGGGCATGGAAGCGTGTGCCTGTAGTTCCAGCTACGTGGAAGGCTGAGGCGGAAGGATCGCCGGCGCCCAGCAGGTCGAGGCTGCGGTGACCGGGAGCGGCCACTACACTCCAGTCTGGGCGACAGAGTGAGACTCCAACTAAAAATAAAAATAAAAATAAATCAAACAATAAATAAAAAACAACAACAAAAGAAAGTTTGTAACTTGAGTGTGCATCTGTAGGGGACTTACTGTAAATGGAACCATATAGACACTAAAATAAGTCGGGTGAAATTACAGTTGCCCCTTGAACAACTCGGGTCTGAATTTTGCAAGTTCACTTGTAAGAGGATTTTAACCAAACACAGATAGAAAACACAATGTTTGTGGGATGCAAAACCCACATGTATATGTAGGGCCAACTTTTTTTTCTTTTTTCTGATTTGGGGTCTCCCTCTGTTTCCCAGGCTAGAGTCCAGTGGCATGATCACAGCTCACTGCAACCTTAACCTCCTGGGCTCAGGTGATCTGCCTCAGCCTCCCAGGTAGCAGGGACTACAGGCATATGCCACCACACTGGGCTAACTTTTCAGGTTTTTTTTTGTAGAGATAGAGTCTTGCTATGTTACACAGGCTGTACTCAAACTCCTAGATTCAAGCAGTCCTCTTACCTTGGCCTCCCAAATTGCTGAGATTACAGGCATGAGCCACTGCACCCAGCCAAGGCCAACTTTTTGTATCTGGCAGTTCCATAGGGCTGACTGTGGGACTTGAGAAAGCACAGATTTGGGTGTATGCAGGGATCCTGGAACTGGAACCAATCTCCGAGTATATTGTGGAAGACTGTATCTATATCTGTGTATGTTTGTGTATGCTATATATTCCATATTCTAATCCTAAAGTATGGAAGTCCTTTCTAAATATGGTTTGAAACTCAGAAGCCATGTAAGAAGAGAATGGTATATTGATACAGAAATAAATGCGTGTGTGTGTGTGTGTGTGTGTGTGTGTGTGTGTGTGCATAAAATATTTGATTAAAACAAACTCTTGAGCAGGATACTTAATCCGAAGGAAAAAGATGTATAACACATAAGATGGACCAAAAGGCTTACCCAAAAGAGCCCTTATAAATTAGTGAGCAAAAAATGAGGCTGGGCTTGGTGGCTCAGCCTGTAATCCCAGCACTTTGGGAGGCAGAGGCGAGTGGATTGCCTGAGCCTGTGGGTTTGAGACCAGCCTGGGCAACTTGGTGGGACCTCATCTCTACAATAAATCAAAGATTAGCTGGGCATGGTAGCATGCCCCTGTAGTTCTGGCTACTTGGAAGATTGAGGCGGAAAGATTGCTAGAGCCCAGCAAGTCGAGGCTGGGGTGGCGGTGAGTATGCCACTGCACTCCAGCCTGGGCGATTGGAGTAAGATTCCAACTCAAAAAAAAAAAAAAAGAATAACCTAGTAGACAGATAGCTTATGGAAAGATGCTCATGAGAGCAGTGACTGTTAAGACAACAATAAGGGATCCGTTTCAGCCCATCAGATGGACAAGCATGGAAGGTTGCTTCTTCCAGTCGTCAGAGGGGTGCGGTCGCTTGTCAGTAGGATGAACGTCAATAGAACCCCGAGAAGACCATTCTGTTGGACTGTTGAATACATATACCCTTTCCCTTAGCCACTCATCCTTTAACAGTTCCACTTCCTGACCTCTTCAGAAGTCACACAAGTGGGCAGAGATAGGGTGCAAAGTTTATTCCCTGTAGCATTATTTGGAAACTACCTAAGCACACATCAGCAGAGGAAGAAATGTGTTAAATGAATTACTACAGCTGTTGAAAAGAATGAGATGGATCTGTGTTTGTGTATGCCTACAAAGTCTGGAAGGATATGTACCAGAAAACTAACAGTGGGCAGTAAGAATTCCTAGGGATGAATTTCCTACTTTATATACTTCTGTATTGTTTGAATTTTTAATAGAGTAATTGTATTGAAATGGCTTGTGTTTCTAGAAAATAAATACTTAAAGAGTAGAAAGGTGCCACCACTTAAAGTTGGCTTAAGTTTCCTACGGATATTCATTTACTTCTTGATTCAACAGATGCTTATTATTTAGTACATGGTAATTGTTGGGAGTAGGACGGAGAGACAGTAAACATAATAAGTAAATAATATTGTAAGTTAGAAAATGAGTGGTGTGGAAAAAAGAAGTGTAGAGTAGGATAAGGATGATTAAAAATGCAGTTTTCAGTAAATTTAAACAGTGGGCAGGGTAGGTCTCCTTAAAAAGGAGCCATTTGAACAAGAAGCTGAAGAATTAGGAGGAATTAAACCATTTACTGTGAGTCATGTGATTCAAGTTAAACATGCAAAGTAGGAAGTATTCCACGCTTGGAAACTGCATGGTGGCCTTTTTTTCTACTGTTTTAAATCTGTATCCTTACATTTTATGAAGAATCTTAGAATTTGGTGTTGAATGTTGGGAGGCTCTTAAATTTTACACCCATCCATAAGAATTCATTGATAAAAATGTTGATTTCTGGGCCTTGTCCCTAAAGTGTTTAATCACACTTTCTGCAGTTGGAAGCAGGGGATTGTGCATCGTGAACAAGCCTTGCTGCAGTTCTGACGTAGGTGATCCCAGGGCTGCACACTGGGAATGACCCTATTCCGTTGAGATGAATCTGCTTTACTCTGCCTGGTCACAGGTAGACCCTCAGTAGGTGTTTTTGATGCTCTGGACACTTATGTTCAAGTATTCGTATCATTAACATGACTGGTTAACTTTCAGGCCAAAGACAAGTGTTTGGTTTTTTCTCTTTGAAGGTATCATCAAATGGTATTCAGTCCACTCCTCTGAATCTTGCAACATACTGGAAATGTAGTGCCAGCACCACAGATCTTAGAGTGGATTACAAATACAATCCAGAAGCTATGGCGGCACCCAGCGTGCTTTCTAACATACAGGTGGTGGCACCAGTGGATGGAGGAGTCATAAACATGCAGTCCCTTCCCTCTGCAGTATGGTAAATTAAGTAAATGTTTCTGAATTCCTGCTAAATGTTTGGTGTCATCGCCAGCATTCAGAACCCAAATGCTGAAAGTTGTTTCATAAGTTTGAGATGATTGAGTGCGTTTTCCCATAAAAACCACACTAAAAGATAATGTTTATTGTACTAGTTAACCTGGAGTAGCCTCAATCCAAAATAAGCAAAACTAGTTCTGCTGTAAAGTACCACCCAGGCTTGAATGATTTCATACTAACTTTACAAATTGACAGATTGCTTAACCTCTCTAAACTTTTTTTAAATGTAAGAAGTAAAGACAGTAATCATCTTGCAGCATGAACTGCAGTGTCTGGCATATCTGTCGGAACAGGAGCACCTGACTGGGTGGTGTTCAGTAGTGTGAGTGACTCCCATCTCTTAAGCACCTTGCTTGTCCCCTCCATTGGTCTTGGTATGGCCTCTCGCCACTCTTTATATTTGCTGAGATAATGTGTTTTTCTTGACTGATGAAGGTTCTGATCTACCTAAACACATTCAGTTTTCCTTTCTCTGACCGGTAGAGATGAGAAGAATCACATAATTTGGTAAACTTCCATTAAACAGCATTGTATTTATTTATACTATATAATAAACACATTTTCACCAGATAGTACTATTTAAAGTAAACTTTGCTCAATAGTTGTTGTAGTGAAAGTATTTAAAATGTACTTCTTTATTGAAGTCGCATCCATATCTACGGTTCTAGACACTTCATTTGAAGATATTTGTTCTTATTTCAGGAGTGCAGAACAAATGAAAGCCTTCTGGAAACTGCCTGGTATTTCAGAAAAATCAGAAAATGGAGGTAAGTGTGCATGCTTTTTTGTTTATGATGTGATGTCACCAAAAATGAATTTTTTTTAAAGACATGTTTTACGGAAAGTTAGCACTTGGAATTTCATGCCTTCAGTTCTAGAACTGACCACTAGGTGGAAGTTAATACCTTTAATAAGAATTGACCAGCTGAGATTGAAAACACATTTTTTCCCCTCTAGTTTGAGCATGCTTTCTCTGTAAGAAAAGAAATTAGTTTTACTGTAACTTTATAAATATTATGTAACTGCCTCTTTTATTTACATGATAACATTAAGAGAAAATGCCTAACAAACAAAGAAATAGAACTATCTGTTCCAGGTAGGCAACCTGATAAACTAATTGAAACTGGTTTAACACACTATTTGTTCTGTTAATGGGGTTCTCCTGGCCTCCCAGAAATCATGTAGAAGCTTCCAGGCTTTAAAAATCTCTCTTGCCTTCTCCATCTTTCTAAAAGAACCTTTTCCTGGCCATTTTCCCCTATTAAAGCTAACCATCAACAACAGCTTTCAATTCTACACATAATTATTTTAAGAAGAAGCAAGTTGTATTCTTCCATCAAGTCTGCATCTATTTGTGTTTACAGTGCCAAGGAGAAGGCTCTGCTAGCTGAACCCTTCTAGTATCTCTGCTATCTCAGCTTCTCACGAAGATGTAATTCCCAGGACAGTCAAGTCTTTAACATTAGATATTCTCATTTTCTCTGAATCAAGAGAGAATTCTCCCGCCCCTTTTGAATGCCTAATTTTAGCCTCCAGTAGCTTCTCCTTTTGAGTAGGTGTTTTTGGCTTTTCACATTTTACTCAACTTTTTCTTTTTGACTATTTCCAGCATAATGTGATTAAAATATAAAACATATCAGGAGTTTTTCTCACATAGATATTTCTGTATAAAGGACCATAAACATATCTATAGTGTTTATTCATTTATGCCTGCCATGCAGAATCAGAATTTTACTGATTACATTGGGTGAAATAACCAAGTGAATTCTGCATTTTCTTTTTTTATTGGCACTTAAAGATTACCCATTTCAAGGTGGTCAATTGCACTGATTTTAACCCTAGCTATTATTATATAGGTTTTTGTGAGCCAAGCTGAAATTCCTAGTTTAAACTGAAAGTAAACCAGCAATCCTACTTGCATTGAGGGCTTACAGCCAGTTAGCAAGGAAAAAGGAAGCCTTTTCCCCAATTTAACAAAACTGTACTATTGTAAATACTTACCAAGAAAGAAATTTGTTCTCTCAAAAATAATACACAAGTTTTCTTACGATATCTTAAGTTTTCCTCTGCTATTCAGGTATCAGAGTGTCTATGTGAGGAAATGGAAAAAAATCTTGTAAATGTAGCTCTGATGTGGTTAGCCAAGCCTTTAAGAAGAAATATCCAAATTAGGATACTATAAAATAGAAATCTGTTTTCAGTTTCTGGCTCTATATCCAGAAGAGGGACAAGAAATAATTCTGACATTTAAGGATTGCCAGGGTTGCTACTCTTGGCTCATGTTAGAACTTTCACAGAACTGAATTGCTTATCAAGAACTATAAAAGTTTAAGGAGGGCTTGAACAATAGCTAAGGATTAGGCAGCAGTTCAGCTCCAGCACTGGTCTGCACCATACAGGACCAGTCAGAGTTGTGACTTCTTGTTCCACTCTTCTCTCTGTGGTGTTAAACTCTTGTGCAGGGAGTCACAGGGTCTTACTGCTGTGACCTAGCAGTTCTGTCTGGTTGCCTTGACTCGAAACCTGGGAACCCTCCTAGACTCCTCCTTTCTCACCTCCAGAGTCCAACTCCTAGATACCTTTCAAATAACTTTCCAAGCATCTTTCCTTTCCCTCAGCCCTGGTGCAGGTCCCCTTCCTGTCACCTACAGTCCTAAACCGCTGTATTGGCTGCCAGTGGTCCCCTAACTTTGCATCTTGTTTCTCTCTCCCCTTCTAGGCACTAATCTGAAATGCTCTTGTCTTTTTTCTCTCTGGCGATTCCCCTAGTTTTGTCATGCGCATCTCACTTGGCCTGGTCCTAGCCCCCACTCTCGTTTCACCTGCTGCTCTCCTCCCTTTGTGTGACCTGGTCTCTCGCCCTTGTGGTGTAGGTGCAGCTCCCTGAGGTGGGCCGTGCTCTCCCAGGTCCCCTATCTCTGTTCCTGTCATTACTTCTGCCTGAAACAGTGCTGCCGTCACCACCAGCATCGTCGTGTGCAGCAGAGATGTGTGCTTTTGTGCCTGTAGCTCCCGAGAGCGGCTTTAACGCTCCTTGACTCACTGTCATTGTTGGTTTGCTGTCTCTGCCGTGCTGTTCGACTGAGTTGTGTTGACTCAAGAAAGCAAGCACCTCAGAAATCTTGGTTTGGCGTGCTGCTGAAACGGCAACACTTTCAGTAAGGTTTCAGAAATGCAAGTAGATAGAAAGTAGCCATGTGGGCCTGACGCCTCACAGCCTCAGCTGCCTTTCCTCCCCTGCCGCTCCCACGCCGCTCCCACCGCTCCCACCCTCGGCCTGGTACTCGTCAGTGGTTGCTCTTCTACTTCATCCTGCCTCTGTGCCTGCTGGGCTTTCTCGCGGGGCTGTCCTCGATTACTTCTTCCTTCTCTTGGCGCGCTTCGACGTGTGCACAACGTAAGAATCTAATAGTGAGCGTCTCAGAGATGGGCATGAAGTCAGAGAGAAGCGTGGATTCGGATTTTTTACTTCCTGAAAATTCAGGTTCACTGAGTCAAAGCTGATTTGGAAGCAGGACAGTGATGTGTTCAACTGTGCGCGTCATGACTTTAGCCGGGACTGATGTTGCTTAGCTTCTGTGCTCACTTGATTTCGTTTCATGTGAAGTGTATTTTGCCCTGTGTAAGTTCTTTATTTTATTTGTAGGTTCTGGGTCTCTCAGAGCAAAATTTGATCTTTCAGAAGGACCCAGTAAACCCATGACACTTGCAGTTCAATTCCTCAGCGAGGGAAGCACCCTCTCAGGAGTGGATATTGAACTTGTAGGCACTGGCTACAGGCTTTCCTTGTTAAAGAAGCGGTTTGCCACCGGTAAGTTGAGGGTTTTCACACTTTTTAATGTACATGAGAAACACTCGTATCCAGTTAGTTACTAAACAACTGGCTAGCGGTTTTTAATCTAATGGCGTGGGAGTTTTTTTCTTTGTCCCTTGGTACCAGGTAGAGACACACCTGGGAGGGCGGGAACTTATGGTCAGTATGGCTGCACACCTGGAAACTGTTCTAATGTATCATAAACAGCAGGTGGAAACTAGGATTTTTTTATGAAGAACCACAATGAGAAATGTCCTCCTGTGAGTACATTTGAAATTGGAATTGCAGAGGTCTGCTTGGTGTTTTTCAGGACGATACCTGGCGGACTGTTGATGGACCTAGCTCAAAGGAGAACTACACACCTGCCATTCTGCATTGTCTGTTTCTCAACACTATTCTAATTTGTGTGACGTCTTTCAAACTTAGACATATTTGAGAACTGACTACAGACATTAAGTTGCGCTTTTAAAGTGAGTCATTGAAATAAATGGCACTGACCTGATGTTCCGTGCTGTAAATGATCAACTGCAATAGTCAGGAAGTGCATTTATTCAGATTTTCAGTAAAGGGGGGTTTCAGAGGCTGAAAATTTTAATTATTTTCTGTGTCTATACCGCAAAATGGGATATAGTGTAACATCAGACCTAAAATTTCAGGAGAGCAAGCACAAAATATTTGAGCTTTCCACAAATTTTTAGAGTTAGAGATAGCTTTGAAATTTCATAAGTTGGATATTGAATGGCTGCAAACAGAACTTGAAGTCTAGGTTTTGGACAATGTTTACTCAGAACACTCAATCAAATTGAGTTATGTGCCATAAAGTAATCAGACCAGAGTCTGAGTTATATGCAAAAAATCTATAATTTGATTCTCACAAACATATTAATAAAGTGTAAATGGTGTTTTATATAATTAAAAAAACCTCTCAAGTGCAATGTGTTTTAAAATAAGCTTGCAAAAGACAGCAGAGAAATTTACTTCTGCAGTTAGTTAACCTTATAGAAGTTGTGATTGTTTTAGTGAATTAATGCTGTAGATTTAATTTATTTTTATATGAATTGCATAATGTGTGCCTTTTAAGCAATAACAAAAGCCAGAAATGTGCCTGTCCAGTTTGTGTTCATTAATGTGCCTCATTTTTTTCTCATTCTGGATCTTCTATTCAGAATCTTACAGTGGTCAAACATTTTTACAAGATATTTGCAATTTTTGCAAATACTTTTGGCCTATAATTGGGAAGGGAATTCAAAGTAACTAAAGGATAGCTTATACTTAGGAACCCTGACTCACTTCTTTGATGATACACTACAGTCACTTAGAAAGAGACATAAACCTAGTGGCTTGTGTTTGTAGGGGAAAAAAATTACCTTCATCTGTTTGACATTCAAAACTATGTGAATTTTAAATCAGATAAATTTTGAAAAATTCGGATAAATTGGTAACTGGTATTTTAACTCTCAGTTTAGCATATCTCTTGACCATTTGTTATTGAAAATTTACACATTTATTTAGTGTTATGAACATGAGTTTTGTATTTTGTAAAGAATACATTTTTAAAACAATTAATTTTGGCAACAGGAGAAGCACTGTCATTTGTTTTTATTCAACAATTGGAAAGATTACCAATTTGTACATTTTAATTCTTTTTTAATTTTTGTATCTTTTTTTTTGAGTTGGAGTCTCACTCTGTCGCCCAGACCGGAGTGCACTGGCCGCTCCCGGCCACCGCAGCCTCGACTTGTTGGGTGCCGGCGATCCTTCCGCCTCAGCCTTCCACGTAGCTGGAATTACAGGCGCGCGCTACCACGCCCGGCTAATTTTTTGATTTATTGTAGAGATGAGGTCTTGCCTGCCCAGGCGGGTCTCGAACCCGCGGGCTCAGGCAATCCACTCACCTCAGCCTCCCAAAGGCATGGGATTATAGGCTGAGCCACCGAGCCTGGCTGCATTTTAATTCTTATTTAATTTCCACCTAATAAAAATAAGGAAATCATATGAAGTGATGAATGGGGCAAGCATTTCTTAAACTACTAATACTAAACAGTAAAAAACCTGACTTTATAGCAATTCCTGATTAATTGAAGAAATAAAATATTTTGGACAAAGTTTTATAATTTACAAATGGGAATTTTATTTATAATGATAAGTACCAGTGTCCTTTATTGTGCATAGTAGAAGTGATAAATTGTATTACGTATGATAATTTATGTAAAACCACTAATTGTCCTGTTAAGCTTTACAGAAAATAAAACCCCTATTACTTGACACACCTGTAACATCTTGCTATACAAATACAGCAGAAATCTACTCTTTAGCAATATATAACACATTATGTGCTTTTTAATATATTCATTGTTAGCCCAATTCTAAATTTAGATTTGACTAAAGCAACACATAAGACGATTTGCTAAAATGTTAATCTTTACTAAATGGTGAGCAAAATTAGAATTTCTAACTCTTATATTGTGCTCTTTTAAATGCCAGTTACAGTCCCTGGCTATAATTCTAACTCTAATCCGCTTTGCAATCAAACTGCTTTTATTGGGCAGTTTATGATTTATTATTGGAATTCAGAAACTATTATACTCACTATGTTTGTTTTTAATCGTGTTACCTAAAAATGTACAAATGAGTAAAAATGGTTAAACTTCTGCACTTTCTTAATTACCACAGTCTTCATACCAAGTGTTGATACATAAATTTGTATTGGGTACAGGTTACAATTTTGAAGCCATATGAGTTTATATTGATTCTTCTTTTCATTTAAAAATCCACTAATGATGTAAAAAAGACCAGTAGATTTTCAATGAAATGTTTCTAGCAAGCTGGTTCTTGCTTATATATAGTGATAAACTTTGTAGCTGCCTCTTTAACCAAGAATTTATAAACACAACTCTAACAAATGTGAGTCTTTAAGGATTGTTATTTACTACTTTGGATTGTAATTAGAAAAATGCACATCTTCCAAAATTTTGTAAATATTTTTGATTTTTTCCTAAAATGTAAATGTTACATAAAAGTTGTGCCCTTAATAAACATGTAATATATAATTTATCATTTGGCTTATGTGTCTTTGTACTGCTGTTGATAGTAATAGCTATATCATTGATGTTAGGACAAGGCAAGCTGGGCAAGGAATAAGTGGTTTGAGCTTTGTTCCGCTGTTGATGTACAGAGTGAACCGTTATTTATTGGTCATACAGAAAACTTTATTTGGAATATATCCCCAAAATCTCAAACGTGTCTAACAAGGGATTATTTTTAATGTATTTAAAATATATTCAAATTTACGTTAAGTTTTAGCAAATACTTTTTCCTTGACCAGTTGCTCAGGAACACTACACATACTACACAATTCTATAACTGCAGCACTACACAATTCAGAAATCATGGTGTTCCAAAGAGTCAGTCAGGAACATTAAGTCTCCCAAGAGCCAGTGGATTTAGAAAGGATCAAAAGAAGGAAATCAGAAAAGAGAGAAAATTTTATCCTAAATAGTGAAAATTTTGCCAAATTTATGTTATAAAAAGGGGCAGTTTACTTTATCTAGGTCAGGGCTGGGGAGCCCATGGAAAAACCAGATAACTCTTACCACTTACACCATATGCCCATCATTTTCTTCGTTCATTCTTTCTCTTTTTTTCCTTTCCCTCATTCCCACCTCTGTTAGACTAAATGATGCTAGCGGTTATAATAATCCCACGATCTCAGGTGCTACAATGCTAGGTTGTTCACACGACAGCCCTAAATATCACAGGTTTGAGGAGGAGCTCTGTTCCATGTAATCGTTCAGGGACCTAGACTCCTCCGATCTGGTGATTCTGCTCAAAACCTCCAGTGGACAGCAGATGGGGAAAGGACAAAGGTTACCTGGGAGTTTTATGGGCCAGACCCCGAACTGGCATCATCACCGCTGCCTACATTCCAGGAGCCAGTACTTGATCTGTGACTGCAATCAACTGCAGAGAAAAATGCGCACTGTAGTGTGGTCCTGTGCCCAGGAAGAAAAGAAAACAGTTTTGATAAACACCGAATAATCCCCTTCCACATACCGCGTCCCTTCTCCACTTTGGATGTGCATTTAATGGCGTCTGTGGCTCTCGGCACTAAAGATTTTTTCCATGATGCCTTGCTATATGTAGATATCTTAGCCCTACTTTTAAATCTATCTGATTATTTCCATACTTCCTTTAATGATTGTTTCTGAATGAACATTTGTGATGACTCAGGAACCAATGCTTATCTTTAGCATGCAGTATTGTATCTGCCAGTAATGCTTTTAACTTTAAGTAACAAAAGACAAAACCAAGAACGGTGTAAACAGAAATGCGTGTCTGGTTGTTTTTTTCCGTATCCTAAAGGCTGCAAGTTCTCTGTTGCTGGTCTTGGTCAGAACAAGGAAGTCTCTCGGCCTTTTTGTGGCAGCCACAGCTTGGAGAAAGGATGGTTCTAGTATGTCTGTCCTTTTTGTCAGGAGAGTGAAAGCTTTTCCAGAAGCTCCCAGCACATTTCTGCTTACATGCTCTTGGTCAGAATTATGTAAGGGAGGCAGAGAAAACAAGCAGCCTTTATATTTATAATGAGGGTGTGAGAGGAGTGGGGCAAGGAGCGGTGAGTTGGCAGCCGTCGGCCACGGCATTCATGTGGGGACAGGCGTGTCCTCCTGGCACGTCACCCAGCAGATCTTTGCTCCCATCCTGATCAGCTGTTGGGTCTGCTTTTAACAGTGTGAGCTCAGCAATGAGAAGGATGAGCCTGAAAATAAGTACTCAAGCTTTTGAGTCTTTAGGCATAGTGAGTTGGTACAGCCTTCTTAGATATTTGAGTCCAAAACCTTGTTCTAAAATCTATGTATTATTTAAACGAGTAATTCACCACTTCTGGGAATTTGTCCTAAGAAAACAATGAGACAAGTAAGCCAAGATGTTCGTTGCAGCATGTGTACGGTACAGAGGGTTGGCTGAGTTAACCTCCAAATAGTGAAATGCTTTGTAGCTGCTAGAAGTAATCCTGAAGATCTGTAGCCATCGATATTGAAATATTGCCACAATATTGTTAAGTGGTAAAAGGCAATATACCATTTTTGTTTTTTAAAAAGTGCATACATGTAAGAGCAAAAATCTAAGCAAAAACATCCACCAAGCTGTTATGATCTCTGGGTGGCAGGATTTCTATTTTTTACAATATGTCTGGTGTTGTCTAAATGTCATTGCATTTTTTTAGAATGAGTACATATTACATTCATAATAGACTGTTTCTATTTGAAAAATAGTTGTAGAAATAGAGTGCAAGTTGAACTTCATGTTGACCTAAAGAGTACACAAAGATGTCTTGACATACGTGTCTTCCTATTTTGATCACTGCCTTACCCTTCTGTACTAGTCCATTGCTCTAAAGGAATACCTGAGTCTGGGTAATTTATAAAGCTAAGAGATTGATTTGGCTCACAGTTGGACATGGCTCTAGCATCCCCCCGGCTTCTGGTGAGGCCTCGTAATGCTTTTACTCGTGGCAGAAGCAAGAGGGAGAAGGGAGGTGCCGGCTCTTTGAAACAACCGTCTCTCTTTTTTTTGAGTCGGAGTCTCACTCTGCCGCCCAGACTGGAGTGCAGTGGCCGCTCCCGGCCACCGCAGCCTCGACCTGCTGGGCTCCGGCGATCCTTCCGCCTTGGCCTTCCGATAGCCGGAATTACAGGCATGCGCTACCACGCCCAGCTGATTTTTTGATTTATTGTAGAGATGAGGGCTCACCAAGTTGCCCAGGCGGGTCTCGAACCCGCGGGCTCAGGCCATCCGCTCACCTCGGCCTCCCAAGTGCGGGATTACAGGCTGAGCCACCGAGCCCGGCTGAAACAATCGTCCCTTGGGGAACTCCTCACCAGGAGAACAGCACTGAGCTATTCACGAAGGGTCTGCCCCCATGGCCCAGTCACCTCCCGCTAGGCCTCACTGTCAACGTTGGGGTCACGTTTCAGCGTAAGATCGGGAAGGGACGCGCATCTAAATCACATCGCCTTCCACCTATGTGGCCAGGTGTTTTGTTTGTTAATGTATAAAGTAGATTCCTGCTCTACTTTGTTTTCCCTTTGGTCTCAAACCCAAAAGCCTTGATTTATTTCTGCCCAAGTTACTTTCCTAAGAAAAATATAATCCAAAGAAGGGACGGGGTAGCTTTGGCAAAATTAAATGCCTTTGAGTTCAGAATCTTAATGTTAGCACTTCAATAAGTAAGGACTGATTTGTACCAATAAAATTCCTAAGAGCGTTACCTGAGGAGTGATTAGCCTGCAACAAAATTAGGCCATTTGGTTTTTCACCTTCCGTCCATGAAACATTTACCTTAACTGGGAGACTTCCTAAGTTTCACATTTCTCAGGAAGTGTGAAAGGCATACTTTGAACCCATCTTCATGCTAATTTGCATAGCCACTTAAGCATATGTCAGAATGGGGACTAGAGGACCTGCGTGAGGTGAGATGGCCTTTAAGCTCCCTGGTGAGTGTGCGCGTCAGAATCAGAATCCCGTCCGTGCAAAATTGCGAGTGCTTGCTTTACTTCCTTGTGATCCCAGTTGACCGCACCCAAAGCATTTCGTGGCCCTGGGGTCTTCGACCCCACGCCGCTCCCCAGTCGGAGATCAGGCAGAATCCCCTCACGGTGCCAGTTCATTCGGAGGAAGGCCGTGAAAACTTCCACGCTTCCTCC